AGTCCAGCTGCATCAAAGATCTCAACTTAAAACCAGATACACTGAACCTGATAGAAGAGAAAGTGCGGCAATAGCCTTGAATGCATTGGCACAGGAGGTGACTTTCTGAACAGATCTCTGACAGTGCAGGTACTAAGATCAACAATTAATAAATGAAACCTTATGAAACTAAAAAGCTTCCATATGGCAAAGAACACTGTCAGTTGGATAAATAGGCAGTCTACAGAATGGGAAAAGATTTTTTACCAACTCCGTATCCAATAGAGGACTAATAACCAAAATATATAAAGAACTCAAGAAACTAGTTATCAAAAACCCAAATAATTCAATTTTAAAATGGGGTGCAGATGTAAACAGAATTTGCAATAGAGGAAGCTCAAATGGCTGAGAAACATTTAAAGAAATGTTCAAAATCCTTAGTTATCAGAAAAATGCAAATAAAAACTACTTTGGGATTCCATCTTACATCTGTCAGAATAGCTAAAATCAATAGCAAAAGTGACAGCTCACGCTAGTGAGAATGTGGGACAAGAAGAACATTCCTCCATTGCTGGTGGGAGTTCAAACTTTTACAACTACTATAGCAATCAAGATGGAGGTTCCTCAGAATGTTGGGAATCGATCTATCTCAAGCTCCAGCTATACCACTCTTGGGCATATACCCAAAGGACGCTTCATCCTGCCACAAGTATACTTGCTGAATGATGTTCATTGCAGCTTTATTCATAATAGCCAGAAACTCAAAACAACCTAGATGACACTCAAATGAAGAATGGGTAAAGGAAATGTGGTATATTTACCAAATGGAGTATTACTTAGCTATCAAAAACATGACATCATGAAATTTGCAGCAAATGGATGGAACTAGAAAAAAAATCATCCTGAGTGAGGTAACTCTGACCCAGAGAGATAAATATGATATGTACTTGCTTAGAAGTGGATATTAGTCATTGAGTAAATGATAACTAGGCTACAATCCCAGAGAGGTTATGTAGATGAATTTCTAAATGGTCTTTTTCTAAACGTCCCTTTTTCAAGCAAACACATATTGTCCAGGCCACTGTCTTTTCAGTCTGTTGTTTCACTCTGGTCTTTACCATTCTGAGCTTCCTCATCCCCACCAATAAAAGTTTTGACTATTGCCCACCAGTACTTTCTTCATGTTGTTATTCTTAAGACAACTTATGCCCTACTATAAGTTACCCCTTGTGCAACACTTCAGTATGCACTAAGTATAAAGGAGAAAATAACATTAACTATAACCACATTGGGTAAGCTCTTTCATTTCATGACTTGATGTACATGTGTGCACACAACCAACCACCCCCCAAAAAAACAAAACCAACAGTTTCATGTCCTAGCTATGAGTCAAAAATTGCACTTAGCAGTTTACAAAGATTATTTTATTTAGTGCTCAGCAAAGCTTCATGGACTTCTCTTATTTAATACTCTTTTTACAGATAGATAAACAAGGGTTGAGACTTGCCAAAAGTGATACATTAAACCTTGCCCTACTGTTTCTGGAATTTGGCATTAATCTACCGTGACTTCCTGTTCACTTCTGTTGATGAAGCATTTTTATTGTTCAGATTGTTTAATGCCAAATTCACATACTTTTATACTGAAATTTAGGGCATGAAAAATATTCTTGCTTTCTATAAAGAACTGAGAAAGGCCCAGGCATATATTCAATCCATTTCTGTGATACTATGGGTAAGAAAGTGATGGTGAGTTTAAAGGCCTTGAAAGGTAAATTATCTCATACTCTTACTCATAATAATTTTCCTATACTGTAATTTAAGTTTAGGGAATAACATTTTGCTACAAATTTATAATAGTGGTTTTTTAGAATTGGTTGAGAAAATAATTTGTCAACCTTAAGCAAAAGAAAAAATATCATAAAGTTAAATACTCTGGAAACATGTCTGCAATTTGTGAAGAGCTGAAGAATAGATCTACAATGACAAATTAAGAGTAAATAGTAGGTTATCTATCTAAATATGTATCTTAATTAGTCATAGACTCCAACAAACAGCAATAGCTGGTATGAAGCAGATTTCATTTTAAATTTGTTACAGCTTATTGATATAAAGAGTTAGATGTGCCTGGTGGTAGTAGGGTACACCTTTAACCCCAGCACTTGGGAGGCAGAGGCAGGTGGATCTCTGTGAGTTCGAGGCCAGCCTAGTTCCAGGGTAGTCAGGGCTACACAGAGAAACCCTGTCTCTAAAAACTAAACCAACCAAACAAAACAGCAACAAAACAAACAAAGAAATTTGTTAGGTGTATAGAAGTTTGTTGCCTATGTATTGATATTTTACTGTCTGTCGTTGGATGTATTAGTGATGTTCTCTAGAGAAATTAGCTTGAGAGGATGTTTTTTTTTTTTTTTTTTTTTTCTTTTTTGGTTTTTTGAGACAGGGTTTCTCTGTGTAGCTTTGCACCTTTCCTGGAACTCACTCTGTAGCCCAGGTTGGCCTGGAACTCACAGAGATCCGCCTGGCTCTGCCTCCCGAGTGCTGGGATTAAAGGCGTGCGCCGCCACCACCGCCTGGTGACAGGATGTTTCTATGAAGAGAGAAAATAATGAACTTAAAGAAACTGTTTTTTTTTTTTTTTTTGGTTGTGAGCCTAGCCTTTAATGGCTGAGCCAGCTCTTAAAAAAAATTGTTCATGTGATTGTGCCAAGACTGAATATTTCAGACAGGGTTGTATGGATTTGAAGTGGCCCCTTCCCCAGCAATGTCACAGGGATTTCAGGCTTGAGCACTGACTGTAAGTGCCATTTGGGGAGGCTCTGGAAAATGGAGGTGGGAACCAGCTAGAGGAAGTAGGACACATGAGACAAGTTCTTGGGGCCAATACCTTGGTTCTGGCTGCTTCCTTGTCTCTCTACATATAATTCTTGACTACCGTGCATCAAGTGACTACACGTTTCTGGCATCACTGTGCAGTGCCTGACCATAACACCGCCTAGTGTTATGACTATTACACACATATCACACATGGATCACTAGTCCAGGAAAGTATCAAAATCTTAAAGTATAGCTAAATTGTTGAGACACTAACATAGTGAGAAGAAATATGAAACAGATAACCTTTTTTAATAACTTAAGATTACGCATTACATTATAGGCACAGCTTCCTAAACTGTGGGTCACAACCCTACAGAGGTCTTGTAACTAAATACAGAAGTCACAAAAATGACCAAGAGTAAAAAGGTTTCTGAACACGCAATGACCAGAAATCAATTCAAAATCAAATATGTAATGAGTCTGGGCTGCTTCTGGCAGAACATGCCTGTGTTGTTTAATGTGACTTCAGTGCAGCTTGGTTCAGCGCATGTGATATGCAGTTACATCACAGAGCACCAGCCAACACTCTGATTTGGGACTGTTGGATATTACAGATTGCAGTGCTAATAGAGGATAATCAGTTTTACTGATTTAGATGCTAATTACAGGAACATCTGAACTAGTGTTTGACCATAAACTAAGTGTCCTAACCAAAGTGTTTACTAATTTACTAATATAATATTTGAAAGTTGAACTATGAATAGTTTTATCTGTAAATATTTATCATAAATTAACAAAGATATCACACCTAAGCTGTGTTTGGGCATGGTATGGGTTACATCAAAGTTCCCAAATTTAAACAGATAACCTTAAATGTTTTTTGACCAAGGAAAATTCTGAAGAGTCATGTAGGGCCAAGGAGTTCAAGACGGAAAGGAACTCAGCATTCACAGAACTAAGAGAAAGAACTTAGGAGAACTAAGGCTTAGTAGTCCTAAATGTAATCAAAGTTGTGTGGGTTGTGTGTGTGTGTGTGTGCGCGCGTGTGCGCATGTGCATGTGCGTGTGTGTACATCTGTGTGCATCTGTGTGCATGTGCATGTCTATGTGAAAGTATATGTGTGTGCATGTGTGTATGTATGTATGTGTGTGAGTATATGTGCTTGTGTGAGTATATGTGTATTTTAACAATATACAGGGCTTATTAACAGAAGACCCTGGTTACTCTTTAAGAAATGGGAAGAAAGCTCCTATTTACAGAGCAAATTTCTTTCTGATGGCTCACTTGATTGATAGGTATCATGACTTCTTACTTATGTGTACAGAGACAGGGTAGAAATACCAAATCAAGACCCTGTCTTTTTTCATGATAAGCTTCTCTGTGAATGCTAGTTACCAGAGACCCTTGATACAATCCAGGTGATAAAACAACATCACAGCAATGTAGGCATGGGTTTGGAGTATAATCTCAGCCTCCCTATGATGTCATAGGATATACAAATTGTACTTTGAACAACACTAATACAATTCAATGTACATTATGCCCTATTTCTGCTCAAATTTCAACTCTAATAGTTCTTAAAATACTTTAGAATTTAAAAATATCATAATTTAATTTGAAGATATGTACCTTTAAAATTCTGAATTGTTAATGATCACTCTGCATCTTGCAATAGATGGATGGACTTTACAATTATTGTTGCTATCTGGAATGGATACATAGATAGCCATGGCCTATGTATTTGTTCATAACTCTTTAGGTTTTAATATTAGTGTAATATTTACTTCCTGGTTAGTGACATGTTCATTGAATTTAGTTAATATTTAGGATGTGTTCCCAGTACTTATTATCTGACTTGACATTGAAGTAAAATGTACAATGTTTACAGAACTTCACAGAAAAATGGATTTCTTTTCATTACTCCTCATTTTCTTGTAAACCATCAATCAAGTGTTTTGTAACAGCGAATTTGCAGCTTTAATGTGCATAAGAATCTCCACAAAATCTTCTCAAAACACAGATTATTATTCACTAAGTCAGAGGTGAAGCCTAAAGTATCACATTTCCTACAAGCCTCCAAGAAGTACCCATGTTGTCAGTCCGTGTCCTACGACTTGAATATTATAGCTGTCTGAAAAAGATACTGGAAGTGTGCTGTAGATATCGTTCTGTATAAATAAAACACCGATTGGCCAGTGGCCAGGCAGGAAGTAGGCGGGACAAGGAGAGAGGAGAATTCCGGGAAGTGGAAGGCTGAGGTGGGAGACACTGCCAGCCGCCGCCATGACAAACAGCATGTACAGATGCCGGTAAGCCACGAGCCACGTGGTAAGGTATAGATTTATAGAAATGGATTAATTCAAGATATAAGAACAGTTAGCAAGAAGCCTGGTACGGCCATACAGTTTGTAACCAATATAAGTCTCTGTGTTTACTTGGTTGTGTCTGAGCAGCTGTGGGACTGGCGGGTGAGAGAGATTTGTCCTGACTGTGGGCCAGGAAGGAAAACTCTAGTTACAGAAGTGGGGCTGTTTAAATGTTTCTTCTGCCAGCCTGGGATATTTTTGCAATACTTTGGGTAAAGTGATACATAAAATTGATACAGAAATCAATCACATATTTTCAGATAATACATCTTAAAGAAATTTTTTGTGTAGCGTGTACACTCACAACACTGCATCCTCACCTACAATAGTCTTGAGTTAGGCAGTGTTGACTGGGGGCTCTGTGATTCGATAGCCATGATACATGTTCTGAAGTAAGCTGCACTGAAGTCGCATGAAGCAGCCCAGGTAAGTTTTGCCCGAAGCACCTTGGACCCATTACATATTAAATTTTGAATTTATTTTTGGTCATGGCGTGTTTAGGAACCTTTTACTGTTGACTATTTTGTGACCTGCAGGTTCAGTTACAAGAACCCGATGTAGGACTGTGAACTACAGTGTAGGAAGCTGTGCCTAACAAGAGAATGTACAATATTAAGTACTTGAAGGATTATATGTTACATGATACTCCACATTCAGTTAATGCCTCAAGCACTTATCATAATAGACAAACATGATGTGTTTATATTAAATAGAACATATTTTAATGTTCTAGGCATGCACAAGGGAGCAATGTGAGGGAGTGGAAGTTATTAAACTAAATCTAAAACAATTCTTTGAAGTCTAGAGAGTTCTTTATTAAAACATTTAATTTATACATTTGCTTTTGTTATTGATATACAAAATGTTGGGTCTTTAAAAATAAACATTTTTAACATATGAAAGGGGAAGCATAATTCTGTAAAGAAGGTTAAGTTTGGATGTATCAGGTATCATTTTTTTTTTTTTTTTTTTTGGTTTTTCGAGACAGGGTTTCTCTGTGTAGCTTTGCGCCTTTCCTGGGACTCACTTGGTAGCCCAGGCTGGCCTCGAACTCACAGAGATCCGCCTGGCTCTGCCTCCCAAGTGCTGGGATTAAAGGCGTGCGCCACCACCGCCCGGCATCAGGTATCATTTTTGTCAGCTGATGGAGAGGGCCTTCCACTCTGGCTCTCACAGCCTTTAGCTATCATTAATGAACTGACCTCTCAGGTGAGTAAATATTCATTTGACTCACTGTAGTAGGTTTCTGATTTATGTTGATTTGACCACTTATTGGTGCAAAACACATATGACAGGAACCAGACTTCTGGCAATGTATTTTAATAATTCTTTGAGAATGTAATGCAGTAATAATTGGAATATATTTATCTCCCTGAACCCCTCCAAGATTCATCCCCATCCCCTCCCAACATCATATTCTCTTCTTTTCTTTTCATAATCCAGAGAGTCCAGTTTGTGACAGCTGTATATTTCTGGGTGTGGGCCCTTGACTGAAGAATGACCCACCAGGGACCACACTTTAAAGAAAACGGACTCTCCTTCCCCTCCCTATCAGCCATCAACTTCCTATAGCCCCTTAGCTAGGAGTGGGGTGTAATGAGTCCACCCCCACTCTATTCTGGAGTGCTAACTGATGTGATCGTGTGTGGACTCTTTTGTAGGCAGCCACAGCTCTTGTGAGTTCCCGAGCTCCTGAGTACAGCAGTCCTGTCTGGCACAGGGGATCCCATTTCCTCCCCATCCTCCCTGACCTCAGACTGGAAACTAGACATTTAATGTTAGATTTTGATATTTTTTTTCTCGGCTAGCAATCTTGGTATGACCCATGTGTGAGACTCTGTCAGGACACTGGGCAGTGAGAGTGGGGTACACCTCCAGAATGCCACCCTACCGTGAGGATGAACAAATGACGTTCTACAATAAACTGTGTGGCTGAACTATGGTGTTCAGTCGGTTAGGTGTATTAAAATTTGGATGTGTGGCATTTCTCCTTCAGCGTGTGTGTTGGGCTGTAATGGTGATGCACGCTAAGGCTCATTTGTGTTAAAAGCGGTTTCTTGTTTTTGTGTGTGAGCTGGGTGAGTTTGGGAATGACTAAACTCTGCCCACTTTGCAGTCCTACTTCCCATTTCTTCTTTTTCCCTTTTCTGTTCTCAGCATCTTCTCCTTTGTTCCGTCCCCTATCTACTTTAATATAGGAAGACACCATTTTATAGCTTACTAAAATGTTAGACAACTTAGATCAGGAGATACAAATTGTCGGGAACATCTTTTAAGAGAGAAAAAAAGAGACTCCTTTAATTTTTCGTCTCTTATTTTTCTAGGCTTTGTGGGTGGGTGTAAGGAAAATAATTCACATACTTCAGAGAACAGAGGAAAACTCACTTTAGCTATCAGGGTCAACTAATCTAGTCTTGTCTAAAATTTTCCATTTTTTCTCTTCCCCTCTATTTTGAGGGATTCCTTCAGCATTTTAGATTTGTTTACATGTAGTGCCCTCGCGACCACCGTTCACCATGTCCCAGCGAGGGGCTGAGGATACAAGACAGCGGGTCATTCTTCTCAGTAGAATGATGCATGCTGTTTATTGAAGGAGGGAGGAAACCTTAAATACAGGCTTACGGCACAGTGGGAGAACCCGGGAGGGCAGAAGTTCCCTACAGATGTTTTACTTACCTGCATCCTAGCTGTTTACACCAAATGCAGGATACACAAACAAGGAACCTCCTGTGAGCGTTCAGGAGGAAGGAAACTGGCAGGGAATCAGCATAGGGAGGACACCTGATCAAGGTCAGCAAGCAAGGCAACAGCTACCAAAGGAAGCGGGGTGGGCAACATTTACAGAAAACTACACTAACTCACCGCACCCCAGCTCTACCCTGGGACAGAAGTGCTTAAATTCTCTAACTCTCTTTATTTGGTAGTCTGTCTCCCTGTGTCTCTTCTATCTATGCAAACTCAGTTCCAAACAAAAGAAACTAACTCTTCAACGCTTAAATAAATTAAATACGCAAGAAGAAGTGTGTAATGAGGAGATTGTAAGGTTACAAAGAATCAAAATAAAATCTGATTGTGGAGGGTCGATGGATGAATGTCAAGAGCTCCAGAGTATAGTTTGTGAAATTCCGCCTGAAGTCTCAAAGCCAAGTACACGTGCTCCACAGAAGGGTCCAAATTAAATGTGGGGATTGTAAACAATAGGGCTGGGCTTGTCTTTGGATAGAGAGGTCTCAGGGGAAAGAAGGACCAGGGTTGGAAGTGCAGACAAAGAACAACCGTTGGCGAGTTGTCAAGCACTTTATGGCCTCTGATATGCTTGTCCTAGCTTGCTATATCTATTTATAGACAAGGTTTGTCTAGTAGAAGAGTGGTGAGCAGAGTTTAGTTAATTAAGACCTGATTAATTCCTTAGAGAAGTTATCTGCTACTTTAGAGCACTGGTTTCTTTACTCATTGGACATAGACCCTGAAAGTAAGTCCCTCTCTCACTTCTCTAAGCAGGGGTTGTAGGAATGGAGGCTTGATGTGATTCTGTGTAAGGGAGAAGTACAAGAATAGAGACTCCCACTGACTCAAAGAACTTCATAGTCCTTGAGTGTCTTGACTTAGACATGGCAGGAGTTAGCAGCAGGGGCTTCCCAGTTGCTCTACCCAGTACAGCATGCTATGATATTGGCACTTATACCTGTGAGCCATATGGACTTAGGCACAATGGTAAGCCACTAATGGGCTTCAACTGTCCAGGTCTCTCAAACTGAAAAAAAAAAAAGGTATCTTCCTCACAGGAGAACTCAGTGAACATACAAAGTTTAAAATGGATGTCCACTCATGTTTTTGGTGTCCTCAGAAGAACATGAGAACTGATGTTGTTCCGTCTCAAGTAGGGTGTGGGTTTATTCTTCCCACTGGGGCCAATGACAGCCTTTCTTCTTTTATGTATGAATTAATATCCCAGCATTGAGGTGCTCTGCCAACCAGGCAGATGTCTTAAATACTCTTTTGAAACCATCCCCTTGGTAGATGTAAAAGAGGGAACCTCTGGCAGCTGGCTCATGAAAAAATCACAGAAGACTTCTCTCTTAATGTTCTTGGTATCTGCCACTCCCATGGGATGCCTGTTAGCTGAGTGCTCTCTGTACCTTCAATTTCAAATGAAACTTCCTTGAGTCTTCTGATGTGGTCGCCCAAGACAACTTCCTGGGACTCAGGATCACTTATTGCCTTTTTGTTTTGTTTTACTTTCAGTCACAGATTTCACGTGCGTTTTGCATCTTGTAACTGGTGATTATCTTTATGATAATGATGTGACAGAAGAAGCCCATGACTTACATGACCTCAGCACACCAGACAGCATTGCCACGTAGGCCAGTCTGCTCCTTAAAATATAAAGAGAATGGCAAGTATTGAGAGCATATTTTAAAATGCATTAGAGAATTCTTTAATTGATTTCTCATTTATGAAAGATTCTATTCCTGAGTGCATATTATCTGGAATGTGTATCTAAGGTTTTTCTGGGAAATTGTGAGGTCAAGCTGCCATTTCTAACCTATGTCATGTTTTCTTCTTTGCTAAATTGATACCAAATGTGTAGTTTTTTTCCTGAGCCCCTTTAAGGTCTGGAAAACCCCAGCATATACAGACTTCAGTACAGAACTATTTTAGCTTTTTCTATGTGATGCTAGGAATTAAACACAGACACTTAAGAATGCTCAGCAAGTGTTTTATTGTTGAGTTATATTCCTGGATCTTGCTATTTCAAGAGAGAATATTATCATCTCTGTAGCTCAGACTAGCCTGAAACTTCAAATTTTCCCATCTGAGCCCCTAGAGTGCAGAGATTACAAACCTACTGCTATGCTATCTTTTAAATTCTTAATCGTCCTCCATCATTAGCTTTTTTGTAGGAAAGTGGTCCGGTCTTAAACAGTCTATATATTATTTCA